TGACTAGTAAAAAATCTGGCCAAACTGATATAAATAGGAAATACAACTCAATAAAATACAATTTTACCTTTCATGTCACACCTGATAAAAAGTTTGTTACATTGTATTGTTATAACCTCAGGGAATTTGAAAACAGGATGTATGTAGTAATTAATAACTTATTAAAATTCACATATTAAAGAATTAACTCGTAACTAATTCAATGAACTTCGCATCATCGACCGTATAACTGTTATGGTAATTTATACAAAACATGTGGAAAAAAAATAATTTTCTACCTAACTATAAATAACAACCAAATATTAGTGAGATACATTAGACGAGATGTACAGATACATAGTACGCAAAGCAAGCTTCTACACAAATTGTTGTAGACAGGTAGTGTTGTTCAGCAACTACCTGAGCTAGTGGTTAATGATGCTGCAGCCTACGTTGGATCAAACACCTGACCGTAAACAGTGTATTCAATCGTGCCTTCACAACATTCAGGTTATCACTTCATTGTAAAAAACAAAGTAACTTTCTCTGTCCGTAATCCCTTTTTTTGCTAGCTTGTAATGTCCCACTCCTGGCCTCCCCATCTCGCTTCCACACCTCCCCGTCTTTCGACCGTGTTCACCCGTCTCAATAGGCGTCACGCCATCTTTTCCGGGGCCTACCCCGCCTGCGGCCTCCATCCTGAGGTCTGAACTGGGTGACAATAGTGGCCCATCTCTCCGAATGCATTCGGCTGACGTGTCCGGCCCAGTCCTATTTTAATTTTGCCGCCTTTTAGCCCACATCAGCGACTCCTGTTCTGGAACGTGTCACGGTATTCCGTACCCTAATCCCTATGTATGCTTAAATATTTAAAACTACGATTTTGAAACGGTTTTTTAATAGATGGTTGATTGAAGTTGAAGGTTTATTGTATGATAACATTCCTTATAGAAGATAATAGCGGGAGGGTTGCTAATAGCTTATATATTGGACACAAGCATATATCCTTTTTTTACTTTTTGTGGCGCATGGAGACTGAGACACAGAACTAAAAAGCATGTTATCAAGTCGGCTCGGCAAGGCACGGTGGGCTTTTGGATTTTTTCCGTATATGTCCGGTTTTGTCTGTAAATAATATAACCTGACCTACATTGTTCAACTCATTAACACTTTAAAATCTGAAGTTAAAGAATGGTGAAAGCTTCCACTAACGTCAGGCGCCGATTAACGACACGAGAGTGTAAGAGATAAATATGTTTATCCCGTTTAACCACTAAATTTAAATTTATTTAATTCAATTAATATCCATACAAATCGCATTACTAAAAATACCTACATATAATAATGACAATACTTGAAAAAAATAAAGCTTTTATCAGGGCAAAATTTGCAAGTATGTAGGTACCATTGCTGTAAGTTGGCAATTCACAGTATTAAATTAAAATTGAATTTAGTACCTAAGTGAGTCTATTAAAACTGCTTAAAACCATATCTACTGCTTATCTGCAAGAGAAAGAAAACAAATATGATAATAACGCAGTAACGCAGTTAATCTGTACTACATAAGGCGTATAAAAACACAGATGCGAAAATATCTATGGGCATAACCCTAAGTTTTGTATACATCAATGTCGCCTAAATAGGATGCACCCGTATCTCATGTTATGACATTCAGTCATCTACACACGTGGAAACCATTCTAATTTACCCAAAAACAAAACAAAGTGCTACATGCACATTTTATGATGTTAATTTTTATGGTTATTACCAACAAAACCAAAAAAGCTAAGGGGCGATGTCCTTAATTGTGAAAACAATGAGCTGACTCAGCTGCTACCTTAAAAAGATAAGTATGTCATATTAGTAGGTATCTATATTTAAATAATCTATATTCTAAAGATGATGGAGGTTATAGTACAAGATGTGGATATCCGGCTCTACTTTTCTTCACATCTAGTAGTGAATGGTATTAAGCCGAATAGTATTTCTACACTTACCTGATGTCCAACCCTTAAAGAGCCATCGGACATATGGAGCCTACTAGGGCCGAAGTCCAGCCAGGCAGCCATGGATACGTGTGCAAGCGCGTACTGTTGCCGTAGCCTAGAGCAGGAAAAAGGATGGGGTTTAGGCAATAAGATTCTAACAACCATTCGCGTCACCTCCTCTAAAAAACTTGATTTGTGGTGGTAGTTTGACAATCAACCACCTTTCCGTGTGACAAGACTTGGTCCTCAATCTCTCTATCTATCTATCGATATAGTGCCCAACTTCTAGATAGATACAATTCACAATAGCAATCTGCGATATTTGTGAGAACCCTGATAATGTATATCTTATATAGCTTTTTATTGGTTAACGGGGTTGCGCTTCAAGCGCAATTATGTGATTTTTTTAGTCAGTAAGTGTCTTACACTGCCTCTCGATCCACCCAGGGTGTGACAAATAATTTGAAGATTTTCTGCACTCAAAAAAAAAGCTAACAGACATCTGAAAAACAATTTATGAGATATCCTACTTCATTGATAGTCTTTTTAAAAGATAGTCTGTTATTTTGTTAGTGAAATGTGTCAGGTATTTAATCAGTTTATTGAAAAGATCTGTCCCAATTTAATTTATGTATCCCTTTAATTGGCTATACTTGAACCAAAGCGGCAGGGCCAACTCAGTTCCAGGAAATTGGTATCAATTGATACCAAATAAAACCAGTATGCAAACTGTCGAATACGCAGGAGATTTTTCGACGCTTTATATTCGTTCTTTTGTATTGTCAAGTTATTTTTAATTGTAAATATTTTAGTGTTTTCTTTAAATATATTTACTTAATTATTTGTAATATTAAATTGTAAATTGTTGTGGTTTATTAAAAAACTTTAAAGTATGTAGTAACTTTTGTAGAAGTTTTCATTCAACAAACCTGAATCCAAACGACGACAATAATAATAAGATGAATACTCATATTACGTGATCAATGAAGAATTTCTTTGAGTCAGCAGTGTAATTTTATATATCGCAAATCTTTTATTGTTATATTATTTAATAATAACTCTTAATCACGTGCTTTACCAATATATCCCTTTGAGCTAAGTTTAAAAGATATTTCAGGAAAAAATAATTCCTGGAACAAGTATTTAAACTGAGTTGGCATGTCCAAAGCGTTGCTAAATATAAAAACTAGTTGAGGATTTTAATTTTGAAAAATCTTTACTTTCAGGTACCAGGAATCGAAAATACCACAAACTGATGTCGCACTTACAATCGCTCACGCAAAAAGGTTTTATGCTTGCATATGATAGGTACCTATAATTCCAAATTCACGAAAAAATTTTGTTTAAATAGTAATTACATTTTGTTTATGGACATCTAAAAAAGGTACTTTTTTAATAAATATATAACTGAGCAACTTATTCTAATTCCCTGCATTAATTCCATTTTTGAAAATTATTTATAAAGGTTATAAACATTTCTTTAGAACTTTTTAATTCGTCAACTTTTCCGTTCAGAAACTTTAAACATTTTATATTTAAATCTCGAATTCTACATTAGTGAGATAATAATTTCATTCTATATTTTAAAAAATAATTGAATAACGCTTGTATACAAATTGCTACTATCGCGAACAAAAGATAAACGGGAAAAAAGAAAAAACCCTCATACAAGCAAAGCACCTAAGTTGGTTAGAAATTATGCCATTTATTTTCAAAGTTTCTTCGAAATTGTTGCAAAGTCAAATGTTAACCACAAGTTAACGTCGCTCGAGTGTGATATGAAACCTCACATAATATTTTAAATCGAGCGAATATATGTTACCTGAGTTTAACCGGAAATTCAGAACTTGTTATGATGATATAACATTTTATGGGATACTAAATAATAATATATATCTGATAATATTTCGATTTAGCAACAAACTACCGGATGATTCTTAAAGTTTTTATGTCTTAATAGACGAAATGCAATTATTTTTTGATATCCATCTGATGACTAGCAAAAGGATATTATTAAAATGTCATAGTACATATGTTCTTAATGTATATGTTACTAGTAGAGGTAGATAAACGGTTGTTAAAAGTATGTATTAATTTATGCGTCCGCGCCGGCGGGCGGCACGATGGCGTCCAAGTTCAATAGACCGATTCATTATAACGATGGCAGATAAACAAAAATTTACGAACTACGAATTTTTTTACCGCATTCCCAGAAATAACATTTCTTTTCAAATGTGACAAACTAGTAACTAAAGAAAAAAACAAATCTGTAAGTACCGATGACAAGCTTTTCCTGTGGCTAAGGAAAACAAAATCTTTGTGGTAAGAAAATATGGTACATTTCGCAAACATTCGGTACAATAACTTATTTATCATCAATAACATAACTTGACTTCCAAATGTCTTCCTTAAAAGCTTTCCTGTAAACATTATTATGTACCTTGGACAAGTTGAGTCCTTGTAAAGTACAACTCGTGGGAAATCATTTTGTCAGTTAACATATTATACTCAATACAAAACCGTACAAATGTATGGGACCTTCATCACCTGATGACATTCTATAAACTTAATTTACATATTTCTATGCCATAACACGAATAACAAATGCTAAGTTTTTATATCTTAACGTCTCAAATAATATGTTAGGACACTACCAGAATCTTAAACGTCTGATTTAACTGACTACAGTTCCAAGTCTCTTGAAGAACACCAAAAAAAATAAAACAGAACCTTTAATACAGAAAATTTATTTTATTTAATCTATGCAATAAATCCTCGTGATGGAAAGTTACAAAAGGGTTCAATAATAAATTAATTAGGGTGATCAAAGATTTACGTTACTACTTAGTTTAAATTATGGTAAAAGGACACACATTCCCTAGCGCACACACGCGCGTTCTTATCACGCGTGTCGCCGAAAACACGCACACTAATGAACAATCAGAGGCTTCATCGCCGAAATACACCCACACATGTTTACAAAGCTACACCTATATGGCAAATACGTTGCGGTATCCGACGTTAACGTAAGAGGTAATATAAGAGGCGCATCTTCGAGTTTGCACATTTTAGTTTTAAAAGCCGGCCGTCGGAGAACGGGTCATGTTAGCGAATTTTAGCAAAATATATAGTTAATTATAGCGCCGGGTAGGCTTTGCTTTGTGTTGCCGGGATTGAGGTTGTGACGGGAAGCCTGCGTCTCAAGGTCATAACCAGGCCTACAAGGCCGTATCCCGTGCCATGGGGCCGGGAACCCTCTTCTATTTATTGGTAAGTTTTTTTTTATTAAAAAAATATTGTTTTTTTGTGATTAATTTATAACGATAATTTTCCAAATGTAAATGAATGAATATTTATTTCGAAACAGTGAGCATTATTTTACTTGATTGAATATTTTTTTTTGGGATTTGTGTAATCATTTTTTTTTGTTAATAATTGATATCTGTTTATATACGGAATATGATCTGTCAAGGATGTTATAAGTTTAAATAGATTCTATTAATAAGAAACAAAATGTAAATTGTGATGTATTTTTGAGTTGTGTATTAAATTACATTTTAATACTTTTTAACATAATGCCATTTTAATATTTTTAATGTAATACCTATTTACTTACTTATGTATGTTTAGCAATTTTTATTTTCTATATATCTTTTTTTTACTATCCAAATATCACCTGCTAAGCTTTTAACAATCTTAGAGTCTTAAGTAAAAGGTTGTAATTCCATTATCCGTCTTACTTAAATTCATGAATGAAACGCGTTCTGAAAATGCTAATGTTGCTTGTTAATTAGTTTGTTCAAGTATTAAATACTCTTTGATACAACCGCGAACATTTCCCACACATACAGAACTCAACCGACTGAAATTCAATTACTCTGAACATTACCGTGTTAACTGTTAAGTATCTGCTTAATTAAAGCTGTTAATGAACATATAAGTTAATTGTTTTAAATATTCTTTATTCAATTGTTGCTTGTTTGAACTTCTGTAGCGGTAATGTTAGATTTATTTAAGTTGCAGCTTTTATAATATGTTTGAATAGAAAAAGAGTACTTCCTTACTTATTTTAATTATGCGGTAGTAACTAGGCTAGTTGAATGCTTTTATTGAAATGATAAAAAAACTTATTTTCTATGAGTTTTGTATGATACCGCAACACATGACGTCATATTGTAAGTATTACGTCTAACAGCCTACTTATCTATGAAAAATTAATAATATATCTATGAAAAATTAGTATTGCCTAGCAAAAGTATAAAATTTCATATACCTACTGTCAAATCAATGGACAAAAGTATGTTAATTCATTGCGAAACCATTTAGTTTTTAACAAAAAATTTTATGCTAAAAATCTATTCCATAGTCTTAAATGGCATTTTAGATGACTATTATAACACCTGTATTATTTTTTATTGCATCTATAATCATATGCATTGACTAAATTTGCATAGGCCTACCTAAAATTGACCATAACTACTATTAGATATGTTAAAATCCTTTCGAGATTTTTAAGGATTTTTAATATACTTTACTTTTACAATAGACTTGTTATTGTACATTATGTCAGGACAAGATATTTAACGAAAAGAAAACACAATGATTTTTTTCTTTTGGAGGGGACAATCATACATGGAATTTTTCCGCCCCGGAGCGAGAACCACTGGGGCAAAAGGAAGCATCAAACCGTAATGACCACCTCGTTAATACTCTTGTTCTGAGACGAGCCGCGGTGCATCAACTTCGGTTGCAACCATAAGCTGGACAAACACAGTGAATCGAATCAAAATAATGACGAATATTATTAAGATAAAATCATGCTCACTTCTCGCATTAATGAAGGTTTTATTGGCAAATTCATCACAATTTCAATATATGAATAAAATTATTGAGCCTGGTCAGGCGCAATTTTATTATATATTAAAGCGCATCTAGGAAACCAAAACAATCAAAGCCTACTTAATAAGTCATATATTTATTAATATTTAACCAATGGCGCGATAATGCCACATTTTTGTATTTTTTTTTTTTATTATTTGATTTTTATACACAAATACATATTTTCTGTTCTAATAATGTTAGAACAGAAAATATGTATTTGTGTATAAAAATCAAATAATAAAAAAAAAACTTTGTGTATAACTTTCTTCGGAAATAAAAGAAAGAAGAAAAGAGAAAAAGTAATTATTTGGAACATGACTTGCACAAAAACACTACAATAAATTGAGGTTTAAATAAAAATAAGAATGATTAAAAGTCATGGCAATTATTATAAAATAATGATAAATACTCAATATTAGAAACTATTCCAACCACGACACATCTGGCCATAGTTCATATAATGAAGATATATAAATAATAAAGAGGTTAAATTTTTAAGTTTGTATGTAGGGGGTAACCTTTAGAACCACTGGTCGGATTTCCAAAATTCTTTTACTGGTAGATAGCTACAATGTTCCCGAGTATAGGCTATAAAACCTCACGTTACAATTAAATGAAGCCAAGCAGCGAGTGAAACCGCACAGGAGTAGCTAGTGAAGATATAAATAGAGACACAAACGTCAGCAAACAACAGAAAATAAAAACAGACGTAAAATGCGGTATATTATGAAGAGCTTCTCTTGAAAAAATTGTATTGGATATTTAAAGATATAGGTATTTAATTAATTATGCATTTTATGCACATATGCATATGTTTAGATATTTTTAATTTCGCTATTGTGACGCCATTATTATGAAAACCGGTATTAGCTGTCCATTTTGATTATTGTCATCAGCTCAACACTGCCAGCGACACGATCGTTTATCCAACACTTGATTAAGACCATAGAGTTTATCTTAAGCGCAGAATTTCTACAAGAAATTATTCATTAGGTAATTTGTATAGCTTATTAGGTCACCAAAAAAATTAGAATAAGATTCGCGAAAATGTACTTTACAAGTAACTAATATCCCGTCCAGGCTTCGCACGGGTCAATGCTTAAACAAAATTTCTCCACCATTTAATGAATTTTATCACACATACTAAAAATTCCACTTCAATCATTCTACCTATCTAATAAAAAATCCAATTAAAATCCGTTGCGTAGTTTCAAATATATACCTACGCATACATAGGAATATAGGGACAGTACAAGCGACTTTGTTTTATACTATATAGTGATAGTGATAGTAGATAAATAATAAAAAATACCAATATATTTTCTGTATAGCTTTGCAGTTTTCGAATGCTGACAAAATTGATTGAAAAAGAACAATAAAACATATACGTTTGTCAAATAAAATCGACAACGGTATACAAGTTAAAATAATGGTCACACTTTATCTCAACGGTGGATGACAATTTGGACGTTTACGAGTTGAGAACACGTGACTTGTGTACTAATAATATACCGATTCAGTAAGTAGTCGCGGCCGCGGCCCGATAGAACACAGCCTACTATGAATCTCAACTGGTTTATGGAAATAGACAACTAGACTAGCCCAAATACAAAAAACACGTTTTGTATAACATAGGTCATAACATTTTTGTAGAATTCCATGACACTACATTTTCTATAAAAATTAAATGTAGATTAGAATTATATGATAACTATTATTTAATTTTTAAAAGTTTTCTATGACCGAACTAGTGTTTGGTGTTCTAGGGTGGCAAAAGGGTTTTCAAACAAAAAAAAATGGCAGCTTAATTATGAAAATAAATATTTATTAATTTTATTAACACGATTATAATAAATTGACAAGATATTATGCATGCAAGAAGACATCTGCAGTCAAAATTAATAAATTTATCGTTTGACAAATTTGTAATTGAAAAATAATTATTCATGTGACTATTTAAATAACAATAAGTCCGTTATTAAAAAATAACTATTACGGTTTTATATTTTAAACGCTCAATTTTGCTAAGCAGCTTACAAATAATACAAAAACTATGCGTAATAGAAAAACAATAGTGTATTTATTTATTTACCTGGCTGGTAACATTGATGGATTGCATTTAAATCTTCAAACGTATTTAAAAAAAAACTTTAATTCTGTTACCCTTGAACTTTTCGCGCTCACATTTTAATGCTGTGTGCATATAATACGGCGCTTATTGCTCATAAATTAGACATTATTTGTACAAGCTGAGCATCAACGACGAAAATATTCAAATCATTCGATAAAGAAACATCAAAAATCATTGCAAAACCCTTTCCACACTAACTTTGTAATACGGATGACGTAACGAATCGAATTTACGTAAGTTCGTTTTTCTAAGAAAATCGAAAACGGTATGGCATCATGTTCACTTTTGTTATCTAATCAATTTTAAAAATTCTATAAATTTCTGTTTCATTAATAAGCAGACGACATGCGATCTCTAGTTCAAGTTTCTTTGCAATATAGTCTTAAGTTTCCAAAAATGGTATTAACTTAAGAGCTCTTAAGGTCTCAGAAAATTATTTCTATGAAATTTAATCAAGTGATAATACGGAGTAAGAAAGTACTTCTACAATAAATGAATGCAGTACAATACACTTTTGACCTTATGCAAAGATTTTTGTATAATATCCAAGTAAAATTGCCGTGCAGTTTAAAATAATATCATTCCAAAAAGGAAATCAAAGAAAAATCGTGAGTTTCCGCAAACAATGTAATACTGATGATTATGGAAAGTTGTCAATTACAGGGGTCATGCAAGTTCAATTATGCTCTTGTTACATGTAACATCGCGCATCCGTGTTCGTTATATGCATGTTTAACCATATTTTGTAAATGTCTCACTCACGACTCTTAATTAAGTTAGTATATTTCAAAAGTCACTCGTAATTTTAATCTAGCCGTTTAAAGCAATTTTAACACCTAATTGTGTGTTACTAAGATTTAGTTTTAATAAGTGTTTCACATTCAAGTCTGACCTTTATACTCCATTTTATACATGTACATTTAATTTTTCGCTATACAAGTTGTATTCCCTTTAAAGGCAGGTAAAAAAGGGGTTCACTTCGTTTCTCCTATTTTAAGTGAACCATAAAGTCAAAAAGAACAATTTGACACACACAAGTCATATTATTCTATAAACATGTCTTTATTGATAGACACACGCAAAAGGCAGTTTGACTAGTCATATTCAATATTTTATAATGCCAAAATCTCTCTTTGTTATGTCACAAAAGTTCGGTCAACGTTTAACTTGACCCGAGTCGAGATCTAATAAACTATTGTAACTTAAACATTGGCAAGACAAACTGAACATTTCACCAAATTATTTGATATATAAAAAC